TCTTAGCAGAGAAGGATTTCATAAATGATTTCCTGTCTGGTAGGTTTTAATTAAATATACAAGTGATAACAGAACTATTTAGAAATGTGCAGCTAAACTCCTATGTTTCCTGTGTCATTGTCTCAGATCGTCAGAACAGGGGAGTATTTAGTGTAAATTGAAGGGGAGAGAAGGAGTCTATCTTCATTCTTTCTTCTGGGTACAGGCACATTTAGAACCAGAACAAAATCTATCTTATGAACCACATTTAGAATTTAGAAAAACTCCCTCCATTCCAGCAACTGTAACCTTTGTGATTATTTCAACCTAAGTTTTGCTCCAAACCTGCAGCATTTTGGCTACTATTTTGTTGCACAAAATCAGTGACCTAATTTCCTGGTGAAGCCCAAAATGAAGGGTTTGGATAACAAACAGATTAGATATCTGGCATCTTTACAAAAACAGTTAAAAGACTGAATGCACAACAGAGCTTAAAACAAATAAAAGAAAACTTGCTCTTGTCTCCTGGGTCCCTGGAAATTTTCCTCCAGACAGACGTCAGACTTCTCCCAATTAGAGCCCATCAGAAAGCCATCACACAGCAATTAAAACACAAACGAACTGACCAAAAGAATCTCCCGAAGACCATTTGCCAGTACCAGGCTGTGTCCAGCTAGAGATCTCACGAAACTGGGATAATAAGCTTTGTAGGGCTCTCAGCGCTCTCCAGCATACATTGCTTTATGGATTCCTCAGCACCTTCACATTCATCCTCTCCTCTAGTGGTCATAAAGACCTTAAGGTGTATGCTTGCTCTGTGTGCCAGATCGGTGGGTCTGCCTGAGTTTCCCCGCCATGTAATGCTTCTTCCCACTGGGGGCCTTTGCACCTGCTGTTCCCGCTGCCTCCACAACCTTCCCTTCTTTGCCCTCCCACCTCCTACTCATTTTCAAGATCTTGGCTTGCAACATCTCTTCTTCAAGGAAGCCTCCCCTCGCCTGCCTCCCAGACTAAATCAGGGCCCTTGTAACACACTCCATTGTTCCTAAACTTTCCCTTCACAGTTCTTATCACAGCTTGTCATTGAATGTTTGCACTTCTATTTGATTAACGTCAGTCTGCCCTTCCAGATAGTAAAACCCACCAAGGCAGCAAGCAAGCATGACAGCCTTGTTCAGCTCAGCATGCGTGTCATAGAGAGCCTGGCGCATAGTGTGGCCTCAAGTGGAATGGATGCGTGAAAGACAGTGATAGTATACTCATTTTACAGGTGAAAGAAGAAACCCAGAGAAGTCACTTCTGAAGATCCCGAGTGCCAACACTTAAACACAGGAATTTTTACTCTGCTGGCTCTTTCCATACCTGTGCTGCCCAGGAGGAGGGTTTTCTTGCCATTTCTTGGGGATATTATTCTCCATCCTGATCCCCCCACCTGTCCAGCTCTCCATGGCAGCAGAAACCCTGGTGATTGCCACCTCCACTTGATACCCACAGCTCGAGTCAGCACCGCCTCTCCTGCCCCCCTCTACCCCCACTGCAGGATCACTCAGCATCCTTGAGGCAGATCCTTGAACGCCCTGCAATTACACCCACTCTCCCAGGAGCCGGGGGTGGGGGTGGGGTAGAGAGGGAGATAATTAATGAGAGGGTGACAGGCCCTTCTTCATTACCAAGAATATCTTCCACCTCCCAGAGGCATTTCTGTGTTAGGTTTGGGTGCATTCTCTCTCATGATCACAAAGCTGTTCACTTCAGTTCATCACTTAGTTCTCTCCACATCTGTGTGGAGTTGGTTTGGTGAAGTAATCCGTGTGGCTGTGAACCCCATGCATGCAGCACCTTTGCCTGACTCACTCAATGCTCCCTCTCCGTGTTAGAATAGCACTGGCACACAGAAGGTACTTGACAGAGACTTGTGAAGCGAATGGACTGGGATCTTCCCCTGTGTAAGAATTGTAGGGATTGCTATGAGTCTGTTTCACGGATTATGCAACCAGGGTTCAGAGTGTTCATAAACTGTCCAAGGTCAAACACTTAGTAAGCATTAGAGCCCGGATTCAGCCTGAGGCATCTGGGTCAGAGTGCCAAATGGGGAAAGATTAGGACTGGGAATTCAGGCAGAAAGGTAAAGATGCTGATTATTCTAGGAATGCACAGGTAGAAATGTGAATGGGAGGGCGGTTTCACCCTGGGAGAGGTGTTCATCAGGGAAGGGGCAAGGGAATACTGTGCAACACGTTTGCAAACCAAGTGCGAACTCCAGATTCCCATGGAGCCAGGATCTCGTCTCTGATGACACGATGCAGTCAGCTGAGGCTGGTAATGCAGACTCTTGCAGCAAGAATCACTTGAGAACCAGGTACTGAGGGACTGGTACTCAAGGGAAGAAGCGGGACTTGTGGAACAGCCAGGGCCTGGGTCCCAGGAGGTTAGGTGGAGAGAGCCCTGGAGAGGGAGCCAAGGCCTGGCTCTGCCCTGCCCTACCCTGCTCCTGCATGCTCTCTTCTCATGAAAATCTCTTCCTATCTCTGGGCCTCATTTTCCTCATCTATACAATGAGGGCTGTCACTTCACAGTTTAGAGTGACCTCTGGGTCACTGACCTCCCATCTCTAACTCCTGTATGACAGTGTATATAAGCAAATAGATACAGAGTCACCACATGTTAAAAATGGTCACCTCATCCAATCCAACATAGAAATCCCTAGCAGATGACACAAGTTTTCACCAAGTCACTCTAGGCTAGTAGCTCTCATCTCAGGATAATTTTGGCCTTTTGGGAACATTTAGCTATATCTGAGATATTTTTGGTTGTTGCAGTGGACAGGGGCACACTATTATCATCTAGTGAGTAGAGATCAGAGAGGTTATTAACTATCCTATAATGCACAGACAGCCCCCACACCAATGACTCAGCCAGCCCAAAATGTCAACAATACTTAGACTGATAAAATCTGCCCAGCACAAGGGACTCATGACACCCTGATGGACTCATGGCTGTCAGCATCTGTGGCTAGGAGAAGCTTGACTGAAGACACACTCTCTGAACCACCTCTACCAGTCTAGGTCTCTCGAATGGGATGATCTGGAAGAAGAGTCCTCACTCATCCCAAGATGGCTATCCAAACAGCTAGAAATAGCTAGACATAGCAACTCAAACCACAGGGTTCACCTGTATAGTGAGTACACATGAGGCCAATGCTAGGATCAAGGGGTCTCAGGGAGAGGGCCAACAACTTTCTACAAGCTGGATGAGACCAGGCATAAAGGGCTGGGAAGACTCGGAGTGCATTAGGTTGTGAGTGGGCTTGAAGAACCTGGGGTGTTCATGAAGCACATAGTAACTGAACTGAGCTTAGAATGGTAAGAATGCCAAAGGAGGGCATGGGAAGACAAAGGGTAGGGCCATGAGTTCATGTCAGGTGCCAAACACCATCTTGCTGTTGGCCGGCCTAGCCTGCTCACTGCCTGCTGGCTTCCTGCCTCATCTCTCACCTCCATCTGCACCCTGGCCACATAGGCTCCTCTGGGTCTCACATACTTGCCATTTCTTTACCTACCTCAGAGTCTTACAGACTCCATACCCTCAGGTTGGTCTATGTCATACCTCTTCTCTTTGTCCAGTTGCTATGGTCTGAATATTTGTGTGCCCCAGAAATTCCCTTGCTGAAATCTCAACCTCAAGGTAATGGGATTGGAATTGGGGCCCTTGGGAGGTAGTTAGGTAATGAGGGTAGCACTCTCATGATTAGGATTAGTGCCTTTATGAAAGAGTCCTCAGACAGCTGCCTTGCCCCTTCTGCTGGGAGAGGACACAGTGATAAGGTCCTATCTATGAGAAAGTGGGTCTTTACCACACATCAAACCTGCTGGTCCCTTATCCTTGGACTTTGAAGCCTCCAGATTTGTGAGAAATGTTTCTGTTTTACTCTGTGCTATTTTGTTATAGCAGCCCAAATGAACTGAGATGCTGGTTAATCCCCTCTCCTTCTTTGGATCTCAGCTCCTGGACCTTCCTCAGGAAGCCTTCTTTGTCATGCCTCCCTTTGAGAGCGTATGTGCTGAGTCTGAGTCTCATACTCAGTCTCCTTTGTAACACTGGGCATGGCTGACATTTATGTGTGATTATTGACTAATGCCTCTCCCTCACTGGACTGTGGAACTGTGGCTGATCTTTACTATAGACTCTGGCACAGACCATGCACATGGCAGGAGCTCAAGAAATAGTAGTCAGTGGATGAAGAAATGATTGAAAGTTGGCTTCAGTGGCTTAAGTGTTGGGTATGTTCAAGTCTAGGAAGGGTTTGAGACCTTGGTGAGAAGATATTAAATGCTAGACTGAAGTGTTTGTGCCTAAAACTGATGGGACAAAGAGGGGCCTTGGGGTCCTCTCAGTGGGGTAGAGTATATGGTGCCCTGGGGTGATGGACCAGGCAGAGGGCAAAGACTGAGCAGACTCTGGAGACTAAGTGGGAGACTGTTGTAAGAACCTGGACTATAAAGGCTAGACCCTGGGAAGTAGCAGAGGGCAAGCAGCCCTGATTTGCTTTGTAAGAACTGTTGGTGGCTCCCATTCTTTGTGTATTCTGAGATTCCCTGGGAAGACCCAGACAGCATCCTGGTGTGATACTCTGTAATGTGGGGAGCACGTGGTGGCAGGTTAGAGGTGGGGTGCTGCAGACCCTCTGCAACCCAGGCATCTTGCTGAAGTTCTCTGACCCCTTGGCTCTGTGCTGCTTGGCCTCCCACTTCCAGGCACAGCCAAGGGAGCCTGCTCAGAGCACTGCCAGGGAAGCAGGCCAACTGAGCAGCGGGTGAAGGCGCACAGGGAAGGAAGGCAGATTACATGTCACTTCATATTAGCCACACCAGCAACTTTCCCAATCTACTCAGAGAGGGGCAAATTAATTGCAATTTTGAGGACACGCCAAAAAACAAAGATAACACTGAAATGGAAGGGGACTGTATCTGTCTTCTAGTCATGAGCAAATTAGAACGCCTCACAGAATGACTTTTGCTTACCTGTGAGGTACATCTCCTCCCCTTCGGTGAACATCTGGTGGCAGCGTACACATCTGGCACAAGTTGGGTGGTAGTGCTTCCCTCCTGCCTGTGGAAATCAAAAGGTGACACAGGAGTTCAGAGCTGAAGCAGGTTGGGTTTAAACACTGTGCACATTGGTGTTGTTGGCATCTTCATGACCTTAGGGTTGGTAGGGAATCTACCTAGGGGAGTCTAGAACCATCTAAAAGACTACCCAGGAAGTTTGGTGTTTCCCACCATGGGCCCCTGATAGCAGCTCAGTGGACTTCTTCGGGCCCTAGCCCTTCTATTTTGGCAGTGAGAAGGGCTCTTCAGAAGCCACTGGTCCTACCTCCTTATTTTTAGGTGCAGCAACAGTCTTACTTTTCCCAAATATAAGGCCCTCACTACTAGTGGTATATGAGCTTATTTTTAACAAGGAGAAAGTACCAGTTTGGTGTTGGTGTGTATTTAACATTTATCTAAAACCTACTAATTTATATTTTAAAGAATGAGAACAGATGTGAGGCTTAGAGTCTCCATAAGCAATAGAATCTAGCTAAAACTATATTTATCTTTGGGTTACCTGAAAAATGGCAAGTGTTATTAGTTTTCTCATTATGTTATAAAAGTTTTCTTATATACAAGTAAGCCACCTCAAACTAGATTAAAGTATTAGGTATGAGTGAATACACAAGGTTTACAGACAAGGCAAAACTTGTGATATTGGCACATGAAAGGGAGATTTTTAGGACTCAGTGGACAAATAACAGGAACTTCAAAGCCAAGACCTGTTGGGGAGCCCCAGAGCCAGTCCCATGATTGCTGCACCTGGGTGCCTGTGCCCCTATCCCCAGCTTGCCCCAGTATGCTTGTGGTAAATTCTCTTCTCTGTGCCTACTTACCTTCCTCACTATTACTTAAATTAAAAATAGAAGTGACTTGCAGCAGCAAATCCTTCTACTGGGGGAAGAAGCAGCTTCAGAGAAGGTTGTGTCTCAAGGTCTTATTGGGAGCTGGGAGCTGCATTGGGTGGACCTGTGAGAGCCTGTCACCAGCCTGCACTTGCATCCTGGCTGAAATTTCTGACAGTAAACTCCCAGCCAAGAGGACTTGATGTGTAAGCGCCCTTCAGTGGTAGCTTCAGAACTTCTATATGGTAGGAGCCTGGTGTGGCAATTGAGTTGGAAGATAAGGCTTGTTTTCAAGGAATATTTTACATGTCATTTAACATGTTATTTATTTATTTATTTATTTATTTATTTATTTATTTATTTATTTATTTATTTATTTATTTATTTATTTATTTATTTATTTATTTTGGAGAGGGGGCAATTCCTGGGGGAAACTGGTAGATACTGACAGGTTATTGAAGGCCCCTTCTCCAAATCATCACTTGATCAGCTGCTAATGGATTCCTTCCAATTAAAAATTTACAATGCGTAATAAGAAGATTTACTTCCAGGGGTGGGATGGGAGGTGTTAGCATGAGCTGCCTACTCTGGAGATACTCTATTTTAAAAACTTAATGACAATATGGAAAGGGTAGATTTTTACAAAAGAAAACAAAAACACCTCTATTATTCTCCCTCCCCCCTTTTTAATTCTTAGCTGTTTACATGGCTCCTACCAGTGAGAAAATGTCCTTGTCATCATAAAAAACAAACTATGTTCAAACTTTGGAAGGGGCCTGCTATTTTCTCAAGCTGAGATATAGTGGGACTGATTCTCCTGTACTGTGACAAAGATAATCGTTTTAATTAGTAGCCTTTTCCTACTCTGTGTCTTTTTATCATTTCAATTATAGACCTGTTTTCTAGGGTGACAACAGTGCCTTGGCAAAACCAAAGCTTAGCAACTTTCTAAATGTCACGCCCCACCAACCCTGCCCCAGTGGAAAGAAGATTCGTGCCCATCTCAGAAACCCTAGCCATGGCGGGGGGTGGGGGTGTTGGGAACAACCAGAGGGAAGGGAGATGGTTAGGGCAGTCTGCATGCCTGCATCCAACAGCAGGGAAGACCAAGTTAGTGAGGCGAGATGAGCCATTTCATCTGTTAACAAATTAAAGGCAAGAAAACATAGCAGAGTTGGTACCTGAGAGATGGGGACCTAAAGGAGAGAACGGAGAATGGCCAACAAGGCTAGGAAGGGCAGCAGCAAGGAAACTGGACATGAGGTTCTCTTTGGTGAGGACAGAGACAAGAAAGGAAGGGGGCATAACTGACATTCCGCATATTGAGCTCTGTCATTGAGAAAGGGATGATGGGATGGCCTGGGAAGGGAATGAGAAGAGGTACGATGAGAAAACAATATTAAATGCCAGCTGTGTACGAGGCAATGAGTTGGGCTCTGTAGTGGCTAGTTACTGTTTTTGCCCAGCAAACCTCCTTCCCTCTTCTTCCAGAAACAGCACCAAAACTTTCCTTGGTAGGACTACCTATCATTGCATTAGTCCACCAATATCCAGCTCTGGGTGTACAATTAGTTCAGGGATTGTTCAAGGAGAGTCAGAGCCAGGGTGTCTGCTGAGCTTTGAGAAATTATAAATTCACTTTCCCCTGGAGATGCTGGCTGATAGGATGTAAGTCTGGAATGACTGGAGTCCAACCTTCCTATCAGAAAGAACAGCCTTCCTGAGAATAAAGCTATCATGAAAGTAAGTGGAACTAAGATTGCTAGAGATTCCAAATGACTTTAAGAACTGAATCCAGCTGTGTCTAGAGTCAGAACGACTGGGCTTTTTATGATGGGAACCAATAAATTTACTTTTTTGTCTTGAGCCATTTGAGTACAGTTTCTGTACTTGTGACTAAAAAATGTCCTGACCAAATATTCACTGGAATTAAATGACAATAGGGTTCTATTCTGTCAAAGACTAAAGCTCAGAGAAAGTAACTTGCTTAAGGTTTCATGACTAGAAGTGGTAAAGTTTACATCCAAGTCAATTTCACTGCAACCATACTTTTTTCTTGACATCATGCTTCTTTAGAGACCTTTCAGTGCCCAAGAGCTGTGGGCATGAGTGTGGGATATGGGAGCTTGGAGTCCTAGATTAGAGCTTTGTCTCTACCAGGAATACTGACTGACCTTGAAAAAGCACTGCGTGTCTTGGGTCTCACTTTACTCATCTGTAAAATGAGAAGGTTGAACTAGTTGATTGCTAAAAGTCTCTTTCAGCTCTAAGGGGGAAAAAAAATCAATATATCCAAGATGCTAATGGAGTCTCATACAAATGGAATCAATTAATACCCAGTCACAACAGCTGCCTGGGAGGAAGAACCTGCCACAGAGCTAAACAACAGAACTTAGGGGAAAGAGGCGGCCATCGGCAGGAGCAGAGCAGCCTGGAGACGCTGGAACTAATTCTCCTCTGCAGTCATGTGTGTAATCGAAGTTCTTTCCTTCTCAAAAGAAAAGTCTGCTTTTGTGATCTCCTACCCCACTGACCCTTTACCCTATTGCCAGCTGGTTACCTCTTTCTCACAATCCTGCACACCCAGCAAATGATGCTTCAGAAGGTGACCTTTCTCCGCATCCAACAGCTTTTTCCAGCCCACTTCGTCCTTAACTGTTCCATGGAGTTTGACCAGTACTCTGATTGACCTTGCCTCTGATCATTCTTCAGTCTCTTTCTGCCACCTGTAAACTGTCACTCCCTGAGGCTGGCTTCAACCCCCCTCCTCTCTCTCTCTGTCATGGAAATCCTGACAGCTCCCATGGTGCTATTATTCAAATCCTAGTGTCCCTGACATTGGCCTCTGCAGACCTGAGCTTTGTTCCTGAGCTCTGACTCCTATTTCCAACTGCCTTCTCTGAACATTCTGGGAATTTCAATCACAAGCTGCCCTTATGGAACTTGCCATATTTCTGCCCAGATCTGCTTCTTTCCCTGCCATCCCTAATTCTGCAGGTGGCAACACCAGAATTCCTATCACTTAAGCTTTATACTTCGGTACAGCTGTTGGCTTCCTAACCTGCAGTCTCCTTGTCTACAAGTTGCCCCTCAGTGGAGATCTGTTGGAATTCTTCTTGCATAGTTTTGGAGACAAAGGTGGTTGCCCTTCCATTGCTACTGTACCTCTGGAGTCCTTCCTGCCTGGATCATAGAGTGGCCCCTTGCTGATCTCCCTTCCTTCCACTTTAGCCTGTGCACATCACCATATTACTGTCCCTGAGGTACATCTCCAATCCACTCCTGCTCAGACGTCTCTTAAAACCCCACTGCTCAGTGAACTGCATGCAAACTCCTCACCCAGGTATCCTTGGGAACCTGGGCCTAACCAACTCTTTTATGCTCATGCCTTATCCTCTGCACTGTGCTCCTTACTGCTCCCTGGAGATACTTAATATATGGTATACTAACTTTGTGCACTTGTTTTTCCTCTTCTGACTCCTTACAGTCAACTGTCCATGTAGCAACCAGAGCAATATATTTTTAAAACATAAACTTACCATGTTGCTTCTTAGTTGAAAAAACTCCCTAATGGCTTTTCATTTCACTTAACATAAAACCCAAACTCCCATAAAGTCCTTGATGACATGCAGTATATAATATACTGCATCCTCCCCCATCCTCAATTTATAGAATCAGCCACACAGGTCTTTTTCTCTATTCCCTAAATGGGTCAACTCATTCTTCCTATAGCTCTTCATGTGATGACCTCCTTACCTTCAGGGCTCTGCTTCAATGCATGGCCTCAGGGAGTCCTTTCCTGGTTGCTACTCACTCCTGCTTGCACCTGGGCTCAGGACCCAGCTGAACCCAGATGTGGCTCCAGGATCTTCAACATAGCACTCATGATAACCACAACCAACTGGCCAGATGTGGCAGAATGGACAATCCTGCTATCAATAATTGCTATCTCCCAGCCATTGTCAGATGGAAAAACTGAGGACTAGAGATGCAAAAGTCCCTCAAAACTGAGAATAAATTAGCAGTAGAGCCAGTGTCAGAACCCAGTTATTCCTACTGTTAGGCTACTAATTGTCCTCTGCATCAAACTCCTGTTTCTAATTTCTCAAGGTGGGTGGTCCCAGAGTACAGGAAAATAGCTTCTTAGCCTAACAGGGTGTGGGAAGGAAGGCCAGGAAGGCCATCAGACAGGAGGTTCAGGCAGGGACTCAGCAAGGGTGCTGCAGGTTGTCTGTCACTGGCAGAGAGAGCTGTGTAGGGAGGCTGGGGAAAGCTGTTGCCATGGTGACGGACCAGCCAAAGAAGGGCTTAGGGAGCAAGCTGCTAGACAAGCTGGTTTTCAAATCAGCACATTACTAAATACTTAAAAAAAAATAAAAATAAAAAAGCCTTATGTCCTCGGGCAGGACTGGGAAGACAATCATAATTGTCAGTCCCAAGAAATCTGTCTGGGTACAAATCAGAAGAAGCAACTGATTTTCCCAGCACAGCATTTTTTTGAGAACTGGGAATAATTTTGTTCACCTTCACATTTTGAGGTTGCCCAGATATCTCAGCAAGATTACCTACCCAAGGTCATGTAGCAGACAAAGCTGGGGGAAGTTGAGGCTGTGGAAAAAGCAGTATGGGTGACCTTCTCCTGCCTCAGTGATGACTGTTTTGGGACACAGCCATCTTGCATGAATACAGTTTCATGGCTACTGGTACCCACTCACCTCCAAGACCCTGCCGCTGATGTACCGGTCACAAGTCTCACATTTAATACCAAACTGGGAGTGGTAGTCAGACTCGCAGTAAGGAACACCATCTCTGTAAGAGGAAATTCACACAGGGTGAGGATGTTAGGGGAGGATCAAGAGGGGGTTTTGTGTCATTTCCAGGACCTGCAGTTTTTGGTGACAGGCCAAGATTACAAACACTTAGGAAGCTCATATAAAATGCAAACTCTTGAGACACCCCTCAGATCTCAGAATTGGAAAATCTCAGAATTGGACAGGGAATCTGCCTGTGAATTTGTATCTTGACGGGCTCTTTGAACATGTACAGGAACCACTACTCTGGACTGTTGGCCTTGGGTGTCCCTTTTTCTTTCACTCACCTTATTCTCCTTTCTACAGAGTCTCCAGACCCACTCTTTCTTTTTATTCCAAAGAGCTCTTTTTGAAAATTATTTAAAACATTTAAGTTTTATTTTATTCAGAATTGGCAATATTTGTATATAAAAGGAGAGTCTTTTTAGTCCCTCTGTTTTCTGTCTCGGAGGAAATAAATGTAATCAGTTTTTTTTAATGTATCCTTCTTTAATCAGAAATTGGCACGGCTGAAGTGGTGCAGGTGCTAGGGTGTAACTGTGTGATACAGAGCCATGTAGGGAGCCCAAGTTCAGATCCGGATTGACCTGAACACGCTGGGTGTGCTGCACATGCCTATGATCCTGACTGACTGAGAGACTGGGAGGAAGACTGTGGCATGGCAAGACCCTGTCAAGAGTACCCCACCCCATACTTAATATATGAATAAAATAATCTTATAAAATTTTCACCTGTAGTGAAGGAACCATCTGATTGTGTTTCCCGATCAGTAGATGATAGGAAGCCTTCCTGACCACTTTGCATGCACTCCATTTTTACCCAGTGCTTAAGACTTAGCAGACAGTGATAAGATTGGTATTAATTACTCTTATACTACCTTAGGCTACTAAAAGCCACTAACACTTATTGCTTGGTATATGCTGGCCCTCTGATGGTTGGTCACATAGATTATTTTATTTAATCCTTTGGCAGCCATATGAGGTCAGCACTATTAGTATTCCCATCGTGTGGAAGAGAAAAATCTAAGCACAGAGTGGAGTAACTTGCCCTAGTCACCCAGGATGACCTAGAGCTGGGATCTGAACTCAGGCTATCTGGTTTCTTACCCAAGTTGTCATGAAGATTAAAGGAGATGGGTCCAGTATATCCTAGGGCTCAGCACAGAGCCGTCTCATAGTGAGTACTCAGCAAATGGCACCAGGTGGTACAACCATGATTGCTGAGAGGGACCTTTAAGGAGGGCATTTGGTGCTCAGTTCTCTAGGGTGGAGGTCCTCAATGCCTAGGCCATGGACTGGTACCAGTCTGTGTCCTTTTAGGAACCGAGCTGCATAACAAGAGGTGAGTGGTGGGTGAGTGAGTGAAGCTTCATTTGAATTTACAGCCACTCCCCATCACTTGCATTACTGCTTGAGCTCCACCTTCTTTCACATCAGCAGCAGCATTAGATTCTCATAGGAGTGTGAACCTTACTGGGTTGCGTGCTCTTATAAACCTTCCTCCCAAATCCCCTGTCCGTGGAAACATTGTCTTCTACAAAACTGGTCACTGGTGCCAAAAAGGTTGGAGACTGCTGCTCTATGGCCAACATATAGTTAGTTAGAAGCACTGGAGAACTCAGCTCAACTTCTGGGCCCTCTCTAGCTCTAAAGATTCCATCTAAACTCTGAGGAGAGAGGGATATTTCTTCCTATTTCATGTTTAAGACGATTTGGCTCAAACACAGAGAGGCCTAAAGGACAGGCAGACCATTTTCTCATCTTAAAGTTGTTGCCATGTTGGAACTGCAGGGAGCCTGCTTTGGGCAAAAGGGTTGTCAGTGTTTTCCTGAAGGAGAAGCATAAATAAGGACAGATGCTTAGCAGAGGTGTGCCCATAGGTAAGGGACTGTTTGTGAGCCTGTGACACAAGCCTTCCCCTGCCTTTTCAATGTCCCCTGCCTCAAGCCAGGTTCTTACTTGGTGGGTAGGAGAGGGCCACTTTGCAGAGAGAAAAATAATTTGTCAGAAGGTAAGTACAATGAGCCAGCAAAATCTAAGTATAAATGCCAACACAGCTTCATTTGTATCACAGGCTGGTGAGGCCTTGGGGCATTTGAAATATGCATGATTCTAAAAAGAGACAGATGGTAAAGTGAATATTTACTGGGCACTTATTAGTTATGAAACATAGATCTGAGCCTTTACACAGCCCTATGAAGTAGGCTGTCTTCTTATCCTCATTTTTATAAATGAGGAAACAGATTCAGAACAGCAGAGTCCCTCACCAAGATCACATGGATGGGCTCCTACACTGGGTCTTTGATGCCAGAGCCAGGGCCCTGAGCCCTTGCTACACTGCCAGCAGCCAGGTGAGGAGCCCAAGCCAGACTGTAGAGGTACCAGGTGTGGTGAGCAAATGGGGCTGGGTCTCTGTGAGAAGTTCTGAGCAAACCCTTATTTCTCTGGAGAATTCTGACCAAGGCTTCCAGCCTTAAGGACTCCTGGCTGGCTACTTAAAGAGCACTGCTTTCTTGGTAGGCTTAGAGAGGAATGCCAAACATCTACTCACATGGCATTCCAAGCTCTTGGTGAGCTAAGCTCAGCTCCCCCTGCTGCTTGAGACCTTGCCTTATCTGTTCATGTCTGAACTCCCAAACAGGACACAGGTGTTCTGTACTTGCCCTCCTCCCTGCCTTTGCCCAGCCTAGGAATTCTGCCTAGAAATTCCCCTTTGCATTTTCAAATTTTACTCTTATTTTCAAGGTCTAGTTCAAATACCACACCTTCCATGCTATTTAGAAGTGATCTCTCCTTCTTGGGCTGTCCACAGCCCTTCACTTGAACCTTGGACATGGGCACGGGCAAGTGTGGGCTCCCCTTCTGTCCATAGCAATACCTTGTCTGGATGTTCCCTTGCCTACTCAAGGTTACTGTGGATCACAAAGGGCTGCTCTCTGACTCTAGTGTTTGGACCCTCTCGGCCAGTGACTGGTCGGAAATGGGTGTGACCCAAGCATAGCCAAATCAGAGACAGCCATGGCTCTTTTGTTGGAATTCTTGGGAAAGAGACCTCTCTCTCTGCTAGACTTGCTAATAGAATGAAAGCTGAGAGTTGCTGATGATCTTTGCTACCACTTGGACAGGGCCTGCTTGAACATGAATCCAACAGAGGAGAAAGCAGAACTAAGAGAGAGAGAGTGAAAGAGAGAATGAGAGAGAGAGAGAGAGAGGGAGAGAGTGACTTCTGAAGTATCAATGAGATCTTTAAGCCCCTGGATTTGACCATGCCTGAAGCCAGTGTGTCTCTGGCCTTTCCATTTGTATGAGTCAATAACCTCCCATGTTTGCTTTTAAGTGGGCTGGAGTTAGATTTTCTGTCACTCATGATTGAAAAGTATTCAAGCATAAAACTATTTCTCTTGTGCTCCCTATCATGTAGCTCCTGGTGTACGATTCTTTGTGTATTTATCACTTCTCACCCTTGTTAGACTGTAAGTTCCAGCAGAAATGGTCTATGCTGAATCTTTACTTGCTCACCACCTCCTTGCATCAGGCCAGAGAGTGGAACCTAGGAAGTGTCTGGGGTCATAAGGTGTCACAGCTGGGAGAGGGTGTGTTCAAAGTACTTTTAGGTACTTGAGTATATATACACATGGTTACTAGGGCTCAGCCACAAGAGGGGACTGGTGTAATGCCGTAGGGGGCAGGTCACTGAGGGCAGCCTCTCCCTCCTGGTAACTCTCTGTGTTCATCATCTTCTCTCATCTCAAATTAATGTGACAACCATAACATTGACTATGGGCAAGCGTTGTGCTAAGGGCAGGGATATAGCACTGGGCCAGCTGTTAAACCTTCCATCACTGGGCAAGCAATTTACTTCCCCAAGGTTCAGTATCCCATGGGGATAAACACCTCATGGGAGTAGTTATGGGGCTTTACTGTGATAATCCATACAAAGCAGATAGTAAGCATCTTGAACATGATGAACATTCAACAATTGATAGTACTATCACTTTTAAAAAGTTAATAGCTAAGTGTGTACTCCTAAGAGGTGGTAGCCTGCATGAGGGATTCAAATAGGGAACCACGAGGAGACGGGAGCTGGTGGGAGATGGTGTGACGCTGCCTCTGAGGAGAGAGCATGGAGCAGATACCAGAGGAAGCAGGGAGTAAGGGTGTGAAGAACAGGGAAGAGCTTCTCAGGCAGAGGAAACACCTTGGAGGGCCCATGGAGAAAGGGCCTGGGAAAGAGGCCATTGTGGCTGAAGTGTGGCAGCCATGGCAATGAAGGGAGATGATGCTGGCAAAGGCCAGACAAGGCAGGCCTAGAGAGTGCAGAGCCCCAGGACACGGGGTGGGACGGGGAGACCCACTTGCTGATGTACTCCCCGGTGAGGATGACGCTGCAGGTTTGGCATTTGAAGCAGCTGACGTGCCACTGTTTGTCCAGCGCCAGGAGTGACTGGCCGTGCTTGATCTCCTCCTTGCACCCAGCACAGTCTGCAGAGACAAGAGGACACTGCTAAACAAAACGTCCTGGGCTCCTTTGACCCTTATGCCACTTCAGGCTCATGCCTAGGAAACCCTTCTTTGAACACCAGCTTTCCCATAGCTGCTTCCACCTTGGCACTGACAGCTTCCCAGAGACTCTACCAGACCAGAAAAAGGCCACTGCAGCTCCAGCCTCTCAAAAGGGGCTTTGGCCAGGGGTAGAGAAGAAGACCTTTCTGTTTGCCCCTCCTTGAGCTGCTAACTCGCTTGTTGACCTCCCCCGTGACCTCAGGACCTGCAGCATCAGTATCACCTGGGACCTTGCAGTGTACAACATTGCCTGCCCCACCCAGACTGACTCTATGTACAGTGATGTTTCAGAAGCTCTATTCCTATGGACAGGCTACATTTTTCTCAGGCTCAGGCTGGACGTTGAATGGCAAGGGCCATGTCTGTGTTTTGTAAGTAAAGCCATTCCCTTGCCTAGCATGGTGCTGGACACACAGTAAGAGCTCGGAGCATGTATGCTAAATAACTGTGGATGAATGGGCCTGACAGTCCTCAGGCAAAGGAGAGAATTCACCATGTCCACTACTTCACTAATGTGCTCATATACCAAGCATTTGCTTCCCCAAGAAGCAAGGATCAGTGTCTGATAGGAAATCCCAAATCAGAAAGGTGTCCTCATTCCCTGTCACTGTCACCCTGGAATATTCTTTGGGGCCAACAGAGTGTGGGGCAGGCCCAGTGTTCTGCCTGCAGCTCAGTGAATGTCTGGGGAGGGGCAGGAAATGGAGCCAGAGTCCAAAATACTTGGGAGATGCTGGGAATTCAGGCCTAGCTGACCGGATGGCCCACTTTGGACATGGAAAGGGTCATGGGGCAAAGTTTACCAGAGGACAAACCTCCCTGTTGGCGTCAGATTTTAGAGAAAAGAAACTGCAGAAGTAGTTGAGGGAGCCTGGCCCTCACATGCAGCTGGGAGCCAGTGCTGGGAGAGAAGATGATGTGTCTGCATATCCGGGAAGGGCAATGTGTCAAGAGGCTATGGAGGGTCTGGGGCCCTGATGAAGTGTTTGAGTGAGTCAGGCCCCACTGAATCCCACCTCTTGGCTGCTGAGAGTGTTTCTAACATTCTTCAGTATAAGCTGGGGGTAGAATGGTCTTCAATTGCAAAACACCCCAAGCCCCAGGCCTTCAGAGGGGGCTGGGAGAATAAAGAGTTTGGGGATCTATCTCTTTTCTCCTGGGATAAGTATGTCTTCCTGTACCCCATTTCCCAGTAGTTACCAGCTTCAGCATGCAATAATTCAGTGAAGTCAGTGACCCCCCCCCCATCTTTTTTATAGACAGGCAGGCACCTAGACTGAATTGCCCATGCTTGCTCTAGAGGGTCCCAAAGACTGCAGGCATCTAGTCAAGTATTCAAGGCCACAAATCCTGAACTTGTGTCTCTGCAAGCCTCCCTGACAGGACTGAATAATTCCACAGGGAGTCAGAGATCACAGAGTGTTTGGTCAAATGTCCCACCCAGGGCAGGAATCATTTGCATTCTTGATAGGGGGACACCCATCCTCTGCTTACTTGCTTCTAGGGTTGGGCAGCTCACTCCTCTCCAAGGAAGTTTACTGTGACTTGGCAGGGATGATGTGCACCATGTTAAGGGTACATCACTCAGCAAGTATGAATGCCATGACTCTTCTTCAGTGGTGCTGAGACCTGACTCCTTGCGACTCTCACCTATTCTTATGCAACCAAGAATAACCTACCCACCCCCAACATGACAGTTCTTTCAAATAATTAAGAACAACTATAGTCTTTCTTTTCTCCTTCAATCTTTATTCTTCACTTTTCCTTGCTTGATACAGACATCCACTGATTAAAAGCACTTGTGGACCGCAACATAGACATGTTATTGGTCAATAACACACTTCTCCACGTCTCTTTTTTTTTATCTTTTTGAGAGGTTTTTGATATAGGACATGTGCGCATGTACTTGCTAGAAAGACAGAGAGAGAGAGAGACAGAGAAACAGAAAGCAAGAAATTACCCCTTAGTGGGGATGGCCATGCTGCAATCCCTTCTCCTCCATTCTCCTCTCGGGATCTTGGTCATGCATGCATGCACACATGCCCAAATTTAAGTCACCGGGTCCAGGACTCGAACTGCGGTCGACTATGTGGGAGTCCAGTGACGTAATCATTATGCCATTTGCTGGTCCCACTTCTCTACTTCTTCAATAAAACTTATTTAATAACTATATCTTTTCATGACCACAGACCAGTATTGAGTCCCATTTCTCCAAGTTTTAGTGATACATCTGAGAAGAATTTAGCACGTTGAGCTAAAATGTATGAGACAGTAAGTGTAGTGGTTAGAGGTTGGGCTGAAATCTTAGCAAGAGTAGTGAGAAGCTGGCCTGGGGAGATTCTCAGCTTCCCTGTTTACTAGTTGTATGACCTTGGCTTCCTCATCTGAAGGTCTTCCTTACAACACTGGGGCAAAGATGAACTGAAATCAGGCCTGTGAGGCCTTGGTACAATGCATGGCATGTATGTGTCCAGTAAGTGGTTGTTGCCATTGTTATTGTAGTACATTCTAATGTTTTTAAACCATTTTCTGTGCATTACTCAATCTCTGATCTGAAGCCAGAAGCAATATTCCTGTTGTATGTATGTAGGGAAGTCCTGCTGATTCATCCCTGTTGAGAATTCTAGGATGCCTTCTCCATGTGGTTTTCTTTTTCACATGATACTGCTGGTCCTCTATTGTATCAGCTTCTTATTTATCAGGATGTTTTTCTCCCTCTTCTTCCTCTTTTCACTCTCGCCCCCTGTTGGAGCCTAACACCTGTCTGGGAGTCCATGAGTTTGGGGGTAATAGCACAGTCAGGAAAACCATGCCCTATGTCGAGGTGGCTGCTGCAAAGCCAGCTGTCCACTCCTCATCTGTTCTCTTTATTCTAAAATTACCATCTTCAGCTGGTAGAAAGTATGACACCACCACCTGTTCCTCTCAAATTTCTCAGTTTATTATTGAGGGCTCCAAAGACCCCAGACAGCCACTCTAGTTTTTCTTAACTGTGTCATTCATTCCTCATAGAACAGCAAAAACAAATGGGTTTTGTGAGTCATAGCAAGTTTCTGCCTTGTTTTAGTCAACTAATCCAGGAAGACAGGATCCTTCCCAATTGGCAAGGCTTGTCTCCGGTCTAAGGGAATAGGCTCCAGAACCAGACTGCCCGGTCTCACATCCTAGTTCCATTATTTATAATCTGTGCTACTTTGGGCAAGTCATTTATACTCTTTGAGTCTCAGTTTTCTCATTTATAAAACAGTTATTATTGGGCCAGCCAGCTGGTGTGGTGGCTAAGGTGGCTAGATCCCACATGGCCAACTGTACAGTTCAAGTCCCAGAATCAGTGGCTTGAAAAACATGCCAGGAGCATGCATGTGCACCAGTGTTTATGTCCAATATACTGGGAGGAGAATGGGTGAGAAGGGATTGTGGCATGGCCATTCCCCTTAGGGCATGATTTCTTTTTTTTTCTGGAGAGGTTTTTGCTATAGGGCACGTGCGCTCGCCAGACAGACAGAGAGAGAAAGAGAGACAGAAAGCGAGAAATCACCCCCCAGGAGGGATGGCCACGCTGCAATCCCTTCTCCTCCATTCTCCTCTTCAGATCTTGAGCACACACGCACACGCACCCGGTGTGAGTTTAAGTCACCAGGTCCGAGACTCGAACCACGGTCGACTAATGGGAGTCCAGCGACATAGCCATTACGCTAACTGCTGGCCCCAGGGCATGATTTCTCACTTTCCCTTTCTCTCTCTCTCTTCCTGGTGAGTACACATGTTCTATAGCAAAAACAAAAAAACAAAAAACCAAAAAAACAAAACAAACAAACAAACAAAACAAGAGTTATTTTTATATCCCTCACAGAGATATTGTAATGGTTAAGTGAGCTGTTAGGTATATAATACTTAGTGCAGCACTTGACAATAGTAATAGTCAATCCATTTTAGGTGTGGTGATGGTGATATTTGTGATTATGGTGGTTTTGTTAGTGATAGTGGTGGTGGTGCTGGTGGCAATGGTGGTGCTGGTGATGGTGATGTTGATAGTAATTGTGGTGGTGATGATGTGATGGTAATGGTGGTGATAATGTTGGTAATGGTAGTGATGATAGTGATAGTGGTGGCATGGTGGTGATGGTAATGTTGATGATGTGATGGTGGTGGTGATAATGGTGATGGTGATGCTAATGGTGGTGCTAATGGTGCTGGTGGTGATGGTAATGATGACATGATGGTGATGGTGGTGATGATAGTGATGGTGATGCTGGTGATAGTTACACTACTACTGCTGTTGCTTCTTCTTAGTGAGACATGTGAGTAAATATTGCTTCCTGTGGCGACATAACTCTTTATTCTGACAGCCCCTGAGTATTTTTTTTTGCTCTCTTTTGAGTGAATATGGTGCCTGCTTTTCAGAATATCTTTAGTCACTCTCCAGGGATAAAACTTCATGCTCTTATAGCTTAAAAAGGCACAATGTTTTTTGTTCTTTTTCTTTACCATGATTATTTTTTGAAGTAATTTCTCAAATTGGCTTATGTTCCCTCTCTTCCTCGGGAAATAAGAAGACCTTTCACATATCCTTGAGTCAGGAAGCTGCCTTACACTTGCAGCATGGACAGTGACCACCTCTGGAGAAATAACATCTACGAAATATGCACTGGCAAGCCATGGGTTGCAGTTTTTCTTCATGAGTAATAAGATGAGCCATAATTCTAGGTACTCCCCTTGGAAATTGCCTACATGATCATTTTTCTCCTCTTTACTCACTTTCCCATGTTTCTTCACTTTCTCTCTAATATGCAAAATTATAGTGTAGACATTTAGGAACTTCTCTTTGAGAACATGCTTCATGTACAAGACCCCAATTCTGAGCTGAAGCAGTCTTACACCTGTTAGAGACCCCAAAGCACACAGTAACATAACACAGCCTCAGAGAAATAACAACAGAGTCAGGACTTTTGTTTTCAGTCCTCCTTTGGTAATGCTTACTAGATTAAACCTCCATGCCAATGACATCCCTCACTTTATATGTAAGTATAAAGTGAACATTTTACATACTACAACATAATGCTAGTTTTATTCCTATGTACTAATACACTTGCTTTCCACAACATTACAGTGAAGAAGAAATCCCATTCCTCTTTCATAGCTGGGTAAACCAAGTCTCAGGGAGGCTAGTGACTGCTTTGCCTCCTGCAGAAGGTTGGTAGCCTCCTGACTCAGGTTGGGCTCCCTTTCTTCTGCCTCACATGTAATCCTGCTGGTCTCTGGGCTCCTGAGCATTCTCAGCCACAGAGCCATAGTCCTCCATACCAGCATCCTGATCTTCAGTTCTTTTGCTGATGCTTTTGAGGTGTCATGGAGGATAACAGTGTGTGCACTTGGTCACCTTCAGAAGGAAACCTGGTCAAAGCAATGAGCTGTTTCTGAGCATCATCAGTGACATGGGAAGAAGGGCTCCACACATTCCAGGAATAGGTCTGATTTGACGAACGGGAAGGACAGGTGAGGGAGCAAGCCTTCCTACTGTCTTTCTTCTTGGCTCACCACAGCTGGGCAGTCTTGAATAGGGCCCTTGGGAGCCGAGCCCTGCTGACTCGAGGTGTTCTCTGTTCACCCTCCTTGGTTGGTCGAATGCAGCCCTAGCATGCTGACTCTGCAGGTGCTGTGGCTAACCACCCCCCACACCCACACAGCAATGCAGTACAGGAGGCTAATGGGTTTTCATTGATTGTCTGAATAAGGCAACAAGAGTGTTGTATGACATGAAAGAGCACCAGAGCTTAGCAGGACCTAGGAGATTAGAGACTGGCCTGTGTGTGTGGGTGCATGCTGTCAGCAGCCTGACAGAACTGGAAAAAGTGACTTAGACATCTTATCTCCAGACACACTTGGGTGGAATGGACATTCCACACTTTAGGATGACTATTCTGAGATACTCTTAATCCTTAGTTCCCCTTCAGTTCATGGTTTGGTGATAAAACATGACATTTACCATGGCATGGCATGTATCCCCCCCTTAACCTTAGGTGGTGTTTCTCGGTCTTAGTAAATTTAAACACTCCAGAAGCTTTTAAGAATGTCAATTCCTAGGTTTCATCCCTAGAGCTCTAAGAAATGGGCATTTCTTCAAGTCTGACAATGAAGCTGTTGCAGCGGTCCACAGAACATAACCTAAGATGCTCCAGCACACCACTGTGGCGCAGCTATTAGGCCACCTTAGACTTCTGTTTGGTAAGACATGTCTGTAAATTCGTTCTTGAGGAGTTTGTAAAAATTGAGAACCATTGGTGACAACACAACACACTTGATTAACCCTGTTAAGATGTAAGCGCAAGAATCTAGCTTGTCCCAGAAAAGGCCCATCCAAGTGGCTAACATATGGCCATCACTGTTGAGATTGGGCAGCTTCTCTTTCCTGCATTGTGCTTAGGGCAGCTTGTAGGTCTGGGCTGTATGCCAACTGAGTCATGCTTCAGAAGTCTTCCAGGGTGGGAACCTCCCCCACTTCCCTCCATGCCTGCAGGAGCAGTTGACAGTGCTGGGACAGGGGAGCCAGGGACTAAGTGCCTACGGACAAGGAGGTGCCCAGTGGGGAGGACTCACGGCTTGGTCCACGGATCTTGATGGGCTTACTGCTGGTCATGGACTGGGAGCATGTCTGGCACACACATTCTTTTCCACTGAAGGTCACCTTGTCTCCAATGGGGAAAGGCTTCCTGCAAGAGGGATAAGGGAGGAAGTCAAGAAAGTCAACCTCTCCTGAGAGATTCCATACCATTGGTAGCCCAATAGAACCTGTGGTGAAAGCATGTGGTGACACACAGCTGGCCTTCTAGAGTACCAGGAAAATTCACAGTGACAGGCCTGCTAAGTCACTCAGTTAGCAGCAGGAAAGCTAGAACTAGAGGCCCAGCTGGACTGTTTAAAAGATTTTGACACTGAGAGAATTATGACACTTACTTAAGCTTACATATCTCAGCCTTAAGAAAAAGGGGTTACTAACTCTTCAGTAGAGGTGTTCCTTCTTCCTGGAAGGACATTTTCCACCCCAGCTTGACTATCCCATATGTCAAGAGGAATTCATTCAACTCCCAATTCTACCAAAAATTCTTCCTTTCACCTTTCAGACATTTTTCAAAATCTCCCTTCCAACAGGCAGTTTCCTAGTTCAGAAATAACCTCTTCCTCTCTTCCTATGTATTTGTTCAGTTTTCATAGCCCAAAGGGTTCAAGCTTGTACATGTTCTACCTCCCCAGCTAAATTAGAAATTGTATACAGAATCTCTATCACTACCAGTTCTGAAGTTTGAGATGTCTGTTATATGGACTTTGAGCATAATCCCTATCAGAGGCTTCCAGTGACTCCTCTGCCCTGGTACTAGCAACAAGGAACAAGCGAGTCAGGGAGTCATGTTCTCAACCTTACCTAGCCACAAACTCAAGGTAAAAAGACATGGCCTGACTTTGGAGGGTCACTCCGTCTTTATGGACTTGACAGAACCTCATCTTCTACCTTATTGATACTTTATACTAATCTCTGACAGTAGATCTGGGGTTCTAGAATCCAGGGTCCAGGTTTTAAGAGACAGATGAATAAGTGAATTTCCCTGAGTGATTATATTTTCTTACATACATTATTAGTTTCAATTAGAAATTATAAATGGTTAGTTATTCTAACTGATAACTAATTAGTGGTTATTTTATTGGGAGAAAAATTAGTCTGTTTCTTTCTGGTTAAAAATTGCATATATACTTTAAGCATGCTTTACTTATGACTTAATCAGAGCTACCCATTAAATTTTAACGTTCTTGTGGGAAGGACTGAGGTTTTCTTCTTCTTGTTTTTTTAAATCTCCTTAATGTAGCATTTGGCACACAGTGGAGCCTTAATGTATGCTTGGTAAAAGACTGGGATGGCAGGGGTGGAGAAGGGCACAGGGATGTGCTCTCCATCACTGGAGATGTCTTCAGGGAAGTTGGATAATTATCTTTATGAAAATGAAAAGAACAGTAAAAACAGACACACCAGTCACTGAGCTAAGGTTGTTGTGTGTGTCATCTCATTTGATCTTCACGAATACCCAATGAGGTTGGAATGGCTTTGATCCCTATTTCACTAATGAAAAACCTGAAACTTACAAAGCCGGGGTTGTTTTCCAGGTAGCACTGGGATGATGGAAGAAGGCTATACACAGACATCCTTGTCGCAACTGAGGGTACGGGAACTTGGGCCAGATCTATGGTTTCCAAACTGAGTTTTGAGAGACGTGGAGACTCTTGGGGGTCCTTTGATGAAAAATGGGAGGCCGAGTCTGTGGGGCTCAGATCCTCATCCTGCATCCTTCATAGGACAAACTAGTGTTTTACATCATATCCCATTTGACAGAGCGGATTCAGGGCTCCAAGGTTTGAAAACCACTGGCTTGTCAGATCCTTATACCCCCAAATTATAGAAATCCAGGTGTACAGTGTAAGTCCTGAAACCCCAGAAATTCCTGGGGAAGACCAACTCTTCCTTTTGCCTAAAGGTTCATATAGGAAGTTCGGGGAACACTGGTCACCTGCTCACCTGCACAAACTGCACACAAAGCACTTGGGGTGGTAGGTGCGGCCCAGAGCAGAGATGACCTCGCCTGTGATAAAGTCCCGGCAGCTGTCACAGCGGGTGCCATAGAGTTGCTGGTAGTCCTGGGTGCAGATGTACTCCTGGTTCTTGAAGAAGAAGCCTGACTGGGCCAGGCCACAGCCACATACTTGGAAAAACAAGGAGGGAAACAAAGGTGGGTTGAGTCCAAGGAGGGTCTGAAAGCAAGAGACCTTTGTTGGCGGGGGAAGGCTGGCACCTGACTTGGTAGTGAGTGACCAGAGAATGGTGGCACATCAGACTTCAGGAACTTTTGGGGCCAGTATTCCTCAAAGTAAGACCTGTATGCCACTGGCATCAGAATCACCTAGAGAGCTTCTTAAGATGTAGATGCCTTGGGAACCAGCAGTTAGCATAATGGCTATGTCGCTGGACTCCCACGTAGTCGACTGCAGTTCGCGTCCCGGACCCGGTGGCTTAAAACTCACGCTGGGCGCGTGTGCGTGTGTGCCCAAGATCCTGAGAGGAGAATGGAGGAGAAGGGATTGCGGTGTGACCATCTCCCCTGGGGGGTGATTTCTTGCTTTCTGTCTCTATGTCCCTCTCTGTCTGTCTGGTGAGCGCACACGCCCTATAGCAAAAACCTCTCAAAAAAAAACAAACAAAAAAAAGATGTAGATGCCTGGGTCTGAATGACACTCCCTGGAGCTGAGGCACAGGCATCTGTGTTTCAATGCACTGCCTAGCTGATTCTTACGCACATTGACTGAGAACTAGTAATATACAATCCTCTCAATGCATGAATGAAAAATTTAAGGCCATGTGGCTCATGCAATGCTACAAAGCTGGTGGCGTCTGGAATTTGATAAAAGATTCATTCTGTTAAAAATTTCTGGGGTACTTTCTATGAGCTCGGCTCTGGCCCAGTGAAAAGCAGCGTGGGGACTGTATGCTTTAAGTCCCAAACTAGCAATGGGATGGAGGACTTGAAATTTATAATCTGTTCTGACCATAGTCACAAGGCATAGGTCTGTGCCCAGGCATGAATGATAAAACACAATCCCCAAACTGAAGCCAGAATAACAACTGCAGAGAGAAGACTATACAGAAAAATGCCACTTATCGGGAACCAGCAGTTAGCGTAATGGCTATGTCGCTGGACTCCCACGTAGTCAACCGCGGTTCGCGTCCCAGACCCGGTGGCTTAAATCTCACGCCGGGCGCGTGTGCGTGCGTGCCCAAGATCCCGAGAGGAGAATGGAGGAGAAGGGATTGCGGCGTGACCATCCCCCCTGGGGGATGATTTCTCGCTTTCTGTCTCTATGTCTCTGTCTGGCGAGCGCACGCGCCCTATAGCAAAAACCTCTCCAAAAAAAAAAAAAAAAAAAACGAAAAAAAAAGAAAAGAAAAAAAAAAGAAAAATGCCACTTATCAAGCACTTATCAAGGGCAATGGACCATGGGGCAGGTTTAGAGAGTAAGTGCTGTGAGTGGGGAAGAAGAAATAGCTGTCACTGGGGAAGGATCATGGGAGACTTCTTAGGGAAGGTAGCATCTAAGTTGAACGTTGAAAGAAGAGAATGAGCCAAAGCAGAGGCAGAAAGTTGCAAGTGATATCTGCATGAAGGGTGGGGTAAGGGTGGTATTCCTGGAGAGCACAGGGAAGTAATACAGGAAAAGACGGTTCAGATCTATTGGATGGAGGACCAAATCCAGTTTAAGAAATTTAGGCTTTGTAGGAAACTGAGAAGTTTTCCCTTAGTTTTAAAAAAAGTTTTCTAACATTATTTTGGAAATTTCAAACATATATGAAAATGGAAAGAAGATTATAATGATTCCCCACCACCCAGCTGCAACAAAATGATCAATGATATTGATGGCTTTTGAATAGAAAAGCAACATCTTTTGCAAGGCATTTCCTAAAGTCTCTTCAAATATCTGTGGATAACAGGGAGAAATAAAGGTAGGACAGTTACAGAAGACAGATGGATGCACTCATAGGTATCTCAGCAACTGAATCATATGAGATTCACCTAGAAATATGAGAAATAAGATTTTCCCATAAGGAGTTAAGTTATGAAATCAATATTTAATGGACAGAGGAGAAACAGGCAAAGTATCTTGTTCTTCTTGTTCTTTTTCTTCTTCCTCTTTTCAAAGTTTCTTATAAAAGAATGAATGAGGGGCCAGCAGGTGGTATGGTGGTTAAGGGTGCTGGACTCCCACAGGGCTGATTATGGCTCGAATCCTGAACCTGGTGACTTGCTTTCTCACTTTTCCTATTTTTCTCTCTCACTCTGTCTCTCTCTGATCAAATTAAAGTAAATAAATAAAGTTAAATAAAAATAATTATTAAAAAAAAAGGAAAAAGAATGAATGGGCCTCAGGGCCTACCAATGCAATGATCCAGCTGAAGCAAGGCTGAGACAGCAGGAAGGGTCAACCAGAAACAGACCACCCTGGAGAGCCCATTCAAATCCTGTGACCAGCTCTCTTGATTTGAGCCTGCATTTACCAAGAGATTGTCTGATAATTTGACTTTCCACATAGATTGTACTTTGGAGAGAAGGAGCTGGCCAGGCCAACATGAATTAGTCCAACAGAGAATTAGGGCTCTTATTTACATTAATAAATAGGCACTCTGATTTTATACATCATTTCCCCAAAGATTTAGTGAGTAAAGTCAGCTTTATCAAGAGTTATCAATGGTGGGGAAACCAACAAGACAATTTTCAAGCCTGAAAGACTGAGAAGCCAGCCTAGAACTGGTGATAACACCCCAGGAAACACTATCTCATTTTTAACAGGGAAGGTTGTTTTGTAAAAGCAGCCAGCTTATAAACAGGTAGGACTTCCAGGTGAATGCCAGAAATGTTTTGTTAAGTGTTGTTTACCTTTGTAGGCCAGGAGCAAGCTCAAAGGGCCAGAATTGGGGCTGGGGGTGGGGGGGGGATGAGGTAGTTTCAGAGATCACAGCAGAACAGTGGGAGAGACTAGTCTGGGAAACAGAGCATCTGGGCTCTGGACTATTCACTACCGTTAAGGCTCTGATAGTGGACTGGGCCCTCTCTTCTTTAGGACCTCTGCTCACTTGTATGTAAAATGACAAGGCTGAGTTTTTCTTAAAGTAATATCCTATGAATCTATGAGAAGAACAGCTTCTTTCAGGGTTTATTGTGTGCCCGAACATTTCAAACTCATAGTGTGCAGAATTGCTCTCCTAGTCCCTGAATTCCCTCTCTCCCTTCCTCCCTCCCCATAGAGAAGCAGGCATATGGTAGAGATGGTGATGATGGGGAGGTGAGGAAGGGTAGGTCTTCCATAAGCATCATGAAAATCCATCACATTAAACAATGCCTGCTCTTAAGAGCAGGCTAAGCCAGAGTACAGGCTGTTCTGGGTGTGCAGGTGGTGGATCAATTGACTTCATGGCTGTGGAATTAGTTAGGTCATGGCCTACGACCTCATTGGAAGCAGCTCCTGTTTTTTCCCTTCTTTTCTCTCCTTTGTTTGCCTGGCCAACTCCACCCTGAGAGTCACCTCTCCCAGGGGAGAGAACCTGGCGGACATAAGAAAACTTGGAACAATTAGTTCCTTCATTTCCCTTAAGGAACTGAAGGAGGAAGCTTTTGGTAGAAAGAATGCAAAGGTTGATAAGAATCTCAGGGAGTTCCTGGAAATACAGTGGGAAACACAGGAATGGAAGGCAAGTTGGACCAGCAGGACAGATGTATTTGAGGTTGAGCAGAGCCAGACACTAAAATAACAGGAAAAGCCATAGAGAGAGTTTACAGTATGGACCCGATGCAAAATGAACACACTTGGGACAGTCATTATACTGCATATCAAAAAAATAAAGTCTATCAGTTAAAAAAAAAAAAAGCAGGTCATATGGTTTGGTAGTGGAACAGAATATGCAAAGCTAGAATTGCTTTGAGCAAACCTAGAATGAATGCTTACTATGACCATGATGCCTAGAAAGAGGGTTTGACCACAAGCTAATACATGTGTCAATGGAAATTGTATCATTTGTGGGCTACTGGACTTTTGCCTATGGTCCTACTCTACCACTGAGGTGTCATATGACTTTGAAAAAGTTATCAAACCTCTCTAGAGCTCATTCGTAAAAGAAGGGGCTAGATGGAAAATGAGGATACAAACAGATATGAGAGTCCAGGGTTCTCTATGTAATTTTGCATGTTTTTATCTTTTCAAATGAGATTGGATTTTATGAAGTTACAAAATAAAAAGTTAGAAGGGCCCCTGAATGTAAACATTCATTATTTAAAACACTTTAATTGTGAAATATATTATACATAGAGAAATTATTTTAAACTGTACAATTTGAAGAGGAATAATAAAACACACTGCCATGTGTCCACTACCAAGACACACTAGCAGCACCTTAGAAGGCTGTTCACCTCTTCCTATGAGCACTCCCTTCCCAGATTGTCCCTGATTGTGTGTTTATCATTTCCTCGCTTTGTACGTAACTTTGTGATGGGTCCACAGACAACATATTGTTTAGTTTTGCCTGTTTTTGAACTTTACGTTAATGGCATCATTCTGCTTTTATTCTTCTGTGCTTGTTTTGTTCTTTTAGTATGTTTTTGAGGTTCATTCATGTCGAAGCATCAACTGCAGCTCATTCATTTTCACCATGCTGTATTTTGTTGTCTGAATAGTAGATCACAAGTGACTTATTCCACTGCTGAGGGATATTTGAGCTGCTTGCATTTTTTTTTCTTTTATGGAAATGCTGCTATAAATGTTCCTTGTGTTTGTGAGGCAATGCCTGTCTTCCAAAGAGTTTTTGCCATTTAGATCTCCACTAGCAGTTCCTAATGACCCCAATCATTACCAATACTTGGTAACATCTGAGTTCTTGTATTTAGTCAACAGCATGAACATGAAGTGATGTATCTTGATTGTATTTACTCTGTAGATCTGTTGAGTCGTCAGAAAGATCATAACCTGTTTTTCTGTTAGAAAATGTGTCAAGATTTTTCCGGCGAGCCAATAGCAACCTTGATAAACTCTCCTGTTATCCTTTTGGTGATTTTACATTTCATTTTACTGATTATGAATAAAACCGAGAATCTTTTTGTATATTTATGGGTCATTTGTATTTTCTCTACTGTAAAATTGTATATTTATGGGTCATTTGTAT